AACAAGCTGCTGGGCAAGGTGACGATCGCGCAGGGCGGCGTGCTGCCCAACATCCAGGCCGTGCTGCTGCCCAAGAAGACCGACAGCCACAAGGCCAAAGCCAAGTAAATCTCATCTGACTAACAACACAAAGGCTCTTTTTAGAGCCACCCACAACATCCTAAGAGAGCTGAGTTATCGCAACAACAATGAATGTCGTTTTGCATTAACTACTCAATTCTTATTTCAATTTATTTTTTATTTTTGGTTGGATAAAGTAGCAACGTTTTCCATGTTTGTGACAACAAAACAAAGTCTTGCCAAAACGTCCTCCTCTCCGTGCAAGTTCTTCCTGGTACGGGCTGTTTTCCGTTTAGGTCTTACGTCCGAGAACGTACGGACACGATTCGTTGAGAGATCCCGTCCCACCTCCCTTTTCCGCCTCTTAAAGTGGCTGCTGCAGTTCCAGAGATAGGAGGCGGAATCGTCTTCGGGGAAGGGAGGGGGAAGGGCAGCGGGCCCGGGATTTCCGCTGGCCAATCCTTGGGCAGGGCGGGCTTTTTCAATACTTAAAGCTTTCTTTCTCATCAGGAACAAAAGGATTGGCAGAGATCAGGGCTATTTTTGTGTCCGTAAAGAAACCCTCCCCTCCTCCCCCCCAAAGAGACAAAGGCATTTACGGAGATACTTAAAAAGAAATAATAGATTAAACATGGCTCAGTAGTAGCGTGCCTTGCAATTGCATTATTTTGTTACAAAATATATCTTTACAAAAACGTACATCCGATTTTTTATCAAATCATTATAAAACATTGCTTCTTGGTAGTCAAAGTAATCACTTGGAGAAAAAACAAAAGTCTACACTTCCCTAAAGTCGCCGCGCTCTACCGCGTTCTTAACTATTTCTTTCGGTAATCCCTAGGAAACAAAGAACACAGGACACAATTGACCTCTTGACGACTTACGAATTACTGGACCCCTGCTGCAGGTTACGGACGATCTCGGTGCATCAGCTCCTTTAGGGAAAATGTGGGTGGCTCTTAAAAGAGCCGTTGGATAACAAAATAAGCAGAACAAAACTCTCCTGGAACAATTTACTTCTTTTTGGGCGCCGCCTTCTTCGCCTTGGCCGCTTTGGGTTTGGCTGCCTTGGGCTTGGCCGCTTTGGGCTTCACGGCCTTTGCCTTGGCCGGGCTCTTGGCCGCCTTCTTGGGGCGCCCGGCCTTGGCGGCTTTCTTGGGGCTCTTGGCCGCTTTCTTGGCCGCTGCAGCCGCCGGCTTCTTCGCCTTCTTGGGGCTCTTCTTCACCGCCGCCGCTTTCTTGGGCTTCTTNTGTACAGCCAGACACTCTTGTGAAAATGCTTCCTAGATGTGGTTTACCAGGCGCGGGATATGCGAGCAGGAGCGCTTTGAGAATCAATGTATTTCCCAGCAGCGAGCACCGGCAGCCCCTTGGATCGGCGCAGACGGACTTTGAGCACAGCTTGTTTGGGAGCAGCAGAATGGGGCGGAAGATGTCGATGGGAGCATTTCCAGCTCTGCCGGGACAGATGCTCGGGCAGGGCAGCCCCAGCCCCGCCGGTGCCGCATCCCGGCCTGAGCATCCCCGGCCGTGCCCGAGGGAAGGATTCCGTGCGGGCCGGGAACGGGGCGCTCGCTGCGGCTCCCTCAGTGACCGCCTGCCCGCGCCATGAAACGCCGAGTCGTGTTCGAATTAGGGCTCGGTTCGGTTCCTCCTTTGTGATTCAATCCCAGAAGCTGGATTTGGGGGCTTTAAGGAGGAGAGCTGGGCTGGAGCTGCGTGATCCCGTTCCTGCATAAATGCAGCGGGAGGGAGTGACAGAGGGGACGGTTCCCGGCAGGAGCCCTCATCTTTCCCACGACAGCAAAATTCTTTAGGTTGGTTGGCTGGTCAGGCCGTGACAAGCAGGCGTTTTCCTGCTCCCTGCACTGGGGCAGGGACGGTGATTTAAGGACTAATCCGCCCCTGGGAGTGGGGAAATGCAGGGTGACACAGGATGGGACAGCACCTCGCAGTGGGAATGGGGAGCTTTGGGGTTAGGAGCTCATCAACTCGTGCTGCTCTGTGTGCAAGAGGCCCTGGGAACAGAAGGGAGAAGGCAGAGGAAAGGCTGGGATATCTCCTGGAAGGGCAGAGCAGGGCCCTGGAGTTTTACATCCAGAAACAAGGAATTTCCTCTTCACTTTTGCCCCAGCCACCAGTTAGAGGACTTTTTGCTTTACCATTGTCAAGAAACAAACCTGTAGGGTGAAGAGGAAAACCAGACATGATTCAGTTTCAGGGAAATGCTGTAAATTAGTTCCAGTTCTTTTGCAGTTTCCTGGTATTTCCTCCTGTGCTTTGTACCATGTCATTCTGAGAGGAATAGCAGCTTTGTCTTTACAAAGGAGCTGTGGGTCTACTGGTAGATAAAAGCAGCACTGGGAGATAAAGAAAAAATAGGAAGGATTCCACTGATTGATGGATGGTAAAAGATNCAGGAGGCCAGCGAGGCCTACCTGGTGGGGCTCTTCGAGGACACCAACCTGTGCGCCATCCACGCCAAGCGCGTCACCATCATGCCCAAGGACATCCAGCTGGCCCGCCGCATCCGCGGAGAGCGCGCCTGAGCTCCCTGCTGTAACCCACGCAGACCCAAAGGCTCTTTTAAGAGCCACTACATAGTCAATTAAAAGAGTTGTTGCACTCTCTTAAACACGGGTTTAGTACTTGGGGGAGGAGGGAACCTTCATGGTTTTGGGGATGACTATAGCAAGAACGCTGAGGTTTTAAAACAGCTGCTCCATGTTTTGCAGACCAGGCTGTTAATGTTTGCTTACTGTTACATTAGGGTCCAGTAGTAAAATTTTCACTGAGTCCGAGAAATTTTAATTATTCTAGAGCCAGGATTTTTTAAGCATTGTTTTTAGCACGGGATAACTGCAGTCACAATCGTTTATTTAATCGCCCCTCCTCCCTTAAGCTCATGTCGTCAGGTGCACTCGCAGGAATGTAGACTATTCTACTTTAGACTCTGCTTACCCCACTTAAACTAACCACACTTTCACATATTCTTTCCTGTCCGCTGTTTGTAAAACATGTGTTACTCAGCAAAGACTCGGGAAGGAGTTGTAAATGAACTTGAGAGCCGTATGGCATTTTGTGAAAGAATTTTTTAATATGCAGGAGCTAAGTAAAATGAGACTCAGAAAAACATAAAAGAAGTCGGGATTATAAAAATCTAACTTTACCATGAAAAAGCAAAGAAATTAAGAAACGGCTCGTTTCAAAGCAGTGCTGCAGCCCTTTTATTGTCCATGTAGTGACTTAAACTTAGGGCCTTTGGGTCTATGGCAGCTGCCGCCCTTCTCTGTCGGGCAGAGACTGAGGCTTTAAAGAGCTGCCAATTATTTAATTTGAAGAATTTTCTCTCCTTCATTTTGTACCCATTATTTAACTTTTCCATCCAGTAAGATCTGGTTTTTAAAGTTCTACATCTTTCAAGTCCCATTTGAATGTTGTCCGTCGGGACCAGTTTTTCATCAGTATTTGTGGTTTTTCCTACATATCTGATACTGAGGTCTTACACAGAAGCCGTAAAAGAAAAAAATGAAAGAAAATTCAGAAACACCCGTGAGGGGGCAGCAGGGACTAACTAACAAAACACTTTAAATGAGTGCTATTTCTGAAGCTGTTAAGAAGCTATTATTTGGATATTTAGAATAATAAACCTAATTATTAAGTAAGTGGTTAGTATTTATGGCATATGTTTAAACAAATTATATATTTCAGATCAGGAAGACTAATGAAGTTTAGAGCTAAAAATATTATTTCCCTATAAATTAATAAATTCTTGAAGATACCTATGAAGTATATAGGTATGGGACTTCTTTGTGGTATGGATATGAGAGGGGAGAGACCATGGCTGAAATTCGGGGTGGGGAGGAAACATTTTAACGTTTACCATTCGCACTTCTGAGGACTTTTTGTAAAAGCACACAGGTAGTGCAGTGGAACAGGGAAGCTCCCTTTAAACCACAAATTAAATGAAACAACTAGTGCATAACAGGTAAAATGAAGGCTTTTCAGTACATAGCAGGGCTCACTAGGGAAAAAAGATGCAAGCCAAAAAAAACACAAATAAGAGTCTAAATATAATTTGCTTGTATTCCCGGACTATAAAGTTGTCTTCGATGTTCAGGGTTAAACGCTAATTACTAAGGAATTTAGAGTAAAGGCTATAAAAAAAGATGCAGGCAAGAAATCAAAGCTCTTTTGTTGAAAAACTGGGTGGCTCTTAAAAGAGCCTTTGGGTAAAGCAGATTTTAGCCAAGCATTCACTTGGAGCTGGTGTACTTGGTGACGGCCTTGGTGCCCTCGGA